TACATCCTGAAGAGTTAGTGACCTTAGATTATCTGTAAAAATTACATCTTGAAGAGTTAGTGACCTTAGATTATCTGTAAAAATTACATCTTGAAGAGTTAGTGACCTTTGAAGTCACAAACTGGTAGAAAATAACGAGAGAACAAAATGAAGAATTCAAGGATTTTGTCCACCAGTGGCAAAACAGTATATCTGAGTACTTACAACGCTAGAAACCGGGTTTTGACACCCGTGATGGTCAGAGCACAGATGGCCCATTGTGTAGTTTTGTTCTTAACTTCAAACAAATTCAAGGATTTTAATTTTTAGTGACATATATATGTATATGAATGTTATTGGAAATAAAAAAAGTATAGACTGTACATGAATTAAGGAGGTGGGTTAGTAGGAGTAAAATATATTAAAAGCAATTGCTGTTAATGTGTTATAACTGGGCAACAGTGAGAAGGTTCATTCATCATAAATAGGGAAGGGATATTTTCACATTTTTTATAATAGTTAGCTTTTTGTGTGTGTGTGTATCGTAAACATTGTAAACTTTTTTGTGCTTTATGTTTTAGTCTCAACAGTTGGTCCTCAAAAGCAAAACCAACTCCCTGAAAATGTGATAACTATGATTGGGGAAAAAAATGACTTGAAGTACCAAAGAGAATACAAAGGACAGGTGAAACGTCCTGCTGAAAATACAATTCAGAAAACAACAACAACACCTCCAAAAAACCAAAGCCTGGTAATGTATTGTGAATAATTTATATTGTTTAATTAAACAAGTGAAAAAAAAAATTTGTTATATGTATTTTTACAGAATGGTTTACTTCTCAACTGGTAATCAGTATTGAACTGGAACTTGGTTTTCATTTGTTGTGTGTGTGTCGACCAGTATCCATTAAACATGAAAACAAATTAAAGTAGCTGCATGTTTGAGGCAGTGCAAGTTAAATGTTTTATTAAATGTAAATCCAAGTGTAAAACTTCTTTGTCTGTAAATAAAACAATTACAGATGAAGAAGAAAATGTTTACTTTTTTGTTTAAAAAGTATATTTTGCTAGGTTTATCTAGCATCTTTAGGTGAAAGTATACATCGGCTATAGGTGGAGATAATGCACCCAAATGGATAACTTTTTGAAGTCATTTGCGTTCTTTGCAGTTTTGTAGCTGATCTATACTTTTTTCCTTTCAAAAACTTTGGAGAAATTTTATCAATTGTTTAAAATACACATTTTCATATTTATTTTGCAAGCAAAGTACTTACAGTGATTCATGCAATAAATTTGCTTGAACACGAGTTGCATCAAACGAAAATAGTCTTTACACACACGAGTTTTTTTACGTGTAATTTCAAGATAATTGGCTAATAGAAGTTTTTAAACTATTACAACATTTGGTACTCAAAAATGTGTTGGGAAACTTAATAAGATGTGTAACAATTAATAATTAACATTAATGTCAACTGATTTTTGCTCTTTTTGACGTGGTTCTTAGTGTGTGTGGTTTGTAGACTCCCTTCAGGTGGTATGTGGAAAGGTTGCATAGTTATGAACAGAAAGTGGCAGCATAGTGTATAGATCCCATTGTGGCCTGCCAAGATGAAGATTTTAAAAAACAATGTGGTCTGCAAACAAAAAGAGTTTGGGGATTGTTGAGATAGACCAAGAAGTCTTTGATTACGTCGTAAGGGGGGGGGGATTAAACATCATGCCAAGTGAACACAGCGAGATAATAAATTGCCATTCATTATTTTGTTTACCTATTAATTAAATTGAAGACATAAATAAGTAACTTAACACTAATTCTTTTTAAACTATTAACCCATTAACTGCGGATGACGGATATTTCCGTCATTGAAGTTCTATGGCTCAGCTGCGAATAACGGAAATATCCGTCACTCGCACATATATAACCATAACTCTATGCGAATGACAAAAATTACCGTTTTATCGGGACTGATGGCAACTCAGTTTTATCTGTGAGTCAGGAAACGGCAACTGAGCTGCTCCTGCCGCAGTTAATGGGTTTTTCAGGATTTGAAGAATTTATTTTTGTTTATTTTTATTTTTTTGAGTTAAAAAAATTTCATCTAGTATTATTGTGGCTCTTTCTTGTATCCAACATTTGTATTAACTAGTCAATCACAGAAAAAGCAACCTTTGCAGTGTTGGTATTGGTAGGGCCGAGAAAGCTACAAATAATAGTGTGTTAATTCAAAAAAAAACTTATTTTGTTGTCAGTGTTCAAAGAATCTACTAATATAAAATTGAAATTTCTGTTATGTCTATAAAAACTGATGTATTTCAATTATTACTTTACTACATTATAATATTAATCCTTGAATCATGCTTTAAAACTAAATGTATAACAATCAGTTATTTATACATGAACAGTTTATTATTAAGAGGAGCGTCAAACAAAATTCTCATTTGCTTTTCTCTTATAAAACAAAACATCACAAAAAAGTATTTTGTCAGTGTAGTATGGGTAATTTTTTTATTGTTTCAAGTAAAAAAACATTTTTACAGTGTTTATTATAAGAACCATTTGATGGTAAATTGTGTATATTTTGTTTAAAGCTGTTTTTTTTTTTGCAAAGAATAAATACTGTCATGACAGGTAAGGTGTCATAGACCTATGAGCCATAGTATTAAGCAAAAGGCCTTATCAGCACTGCATATAGCAGTGTGTTTGACATGTTGTAATATTCTTCTTTACTTCACATTTAAGGTCTTATAAATACTGAAAATACTGATGGGTTAATCAGTCATTGCTAGTGACAGATGTTGAGTGACTTTACAAAATTTTGCAAAATTGTAATATTTAACTCCTACAATTCTAAATTCAGATTACTGCACTATTTAACTCCTTCAGATTACTGCACATTTAACTCCTACAATTTTAAAATTCAGATTACTGCACTTAATATCCATGGATTATTTATCATCTACTAGAAGTTATCAAACAAAATGACAGGTGGTTAATTATTAACTTAATTAAAAGTGTATAAGGTTAAGGTTTCAATAAATAGTTATTGATAAATATGTAAGAAAATATAAGTTAACAATATTATATAACAATAGAGCCTCTTTTAGGAGGTATATCCTCCTTCTTAGGAAAAGTCTGTCTTCGGAAAGTTGTCTTATAACATTTATGATGTTGCAATTTCTTAACCTTTCTGTAGCTCCTAATTTACACTGATCAATTTTAAAATTCAGATTACTGCACATTTAACTCCTACAATTTTAAAAAGTTAATCTTTTATAATATTTAATTTAGGATGAAACCTGTTATGCATTTAAAAAATGTTACCTCTGGTTTTTTTTGTAATCTATCGTAGTAATTGGTTAAAAGTTAAAGCTTTTGATAAAATTTCCAAGCATTGGCATATAGGAAGCTGATAGGATCCATATTTTTTGCAGTATATGTGAAGAAGTGTTTCAATAAAGTATATTTAATTTGAAATAAATAACCTGTCACTGTATTTTATCATGAGGTGATATTAAATTGCACAATGTACAAAGCTATAGGTGGCATCAAAAAGTGAGATTTTTGTATCATTATGTGTCTTATTTCAGATGAAGCTGTATATGTCATTCTTTCTGAATATTACTATGCAAAGAAAGAAGGAAATAGTGAAGAAGTAGCAAAAGAATCCAAAGAAAGTTTCCAGTTTAAGGTTAGTGCGTGTTATGTTCTGTTGATTAACCTTTGGGCTGTTGCTTTATGATTCAATTAGTTCATTGTTGTTGACAGTGCTCTTCATATACGGTTATTAAAGTAAAACTAATGGCACTCGGAGAAAACAGTAATAACTACCTGTAATATAAGCCAGTTTATAATTAAAAGCATAAAATGTAATAGCTAAAAATGCAACTTTCTTGTTTACAATAGCTTTTTTATAAGAACTGGTTAATTCAAGAAAATAACTGAATGAAACTGAAAAAAAAAGCATTTTTTTGGAGCTTTTAAAATGTAACAGAGCAAGAAAATTCAAAAATAAATACTGATTTTGGAGTGATATTGCTTCCCTCATAATGGGATAGACAGTGTAAGACATTGAGTTATCCAAGTATAAAAAAGGAAATGGCAATGTTTCCACAGATGGTGCTGTTTCTAGGACTGTTTATTACAGCTGTCTACTGTAATGGAAGTAAAATTTTACAGTTAGTTTCAAAGGAAATATTAAGGTTCTGTTTTACAGTTTCAGTGAGCAACATTCTTAAATACAGTTTACAGAAAAATATCGTGAAAATATTGATTACAGGAAAGTTAAAATGTTCATTTATGACTAAGGGCTAGTGGTTTGTTTTCATATTATATAGAAGGTATTACAGCAACTATGGTTATAAGGTTGTCAGTTATAGACCGATAGTTATTACAGCACCTGTCATTATAAGGTTGTCAGTTATAGACCGATAGTTATTACAGCAACTATCATTATAAGGTTGTCAGTGATAGACCGATAGTTATTACAGCAACTATAGTTATAAGGTTGTCAGTTATAGACCGATAGTTATTACAGCACCTATCATTATAAGGTTGTCAGTTATAGACCGATAGTTATTACAGCAACTATCATTATAAGGTTGTCAGTGACAGACCAATAGTTATTACAGCAACTATTAATTATAAGGTTGTCAGTTATAGACCAATAGTTATTACAGCAACTATATTATAAGGTTGTCAGTTATAGACCAATAGTTATTACAGCAACTATTATTATAAGGTTGTCAGTGATAGACCGATAGTTATTACAGCAACTATAGTTATAAGGTTCTCGGTTATAGACCGATAGTTATTACAGCAACTATAGTTATAAGGTTGTCACTTATAGACCGATAGTTATTACAGCAACTATCATTATAAGGCTCTCGGTTACAGACCGATAGTTATTACAGCAACTATCATTATAAGTTTGTCATTTATAGACTGATAGTTATTACAGCAACTATAGTTATAAGGTTGTCAGTTATAGACCGATAGTTATTACAGCAACTATAGTTATAAGGTTGTCAGTTATAGATCGATAGTTATTACAGCAACTATCATTATAAAGTTGTCAGTTATAGACCGATAGTTATTACAGCAACTATAATTATAAGGTTCTCGGTTATAGACTTATTACAGTAACTATAAGGTTCTCAGTTATTGACCAATAGGTACAGCAAATATAATTATAAGGTTCTCAGTTCTTGAGTGGTATACATAATTAAGATGTACAGCAACTATAGTTATAAGGTAATCAGTTGTAGATCAATAGGTACAGCAACTATAATTATAAGGTTCTCAGTTCTAGAGTGGTATACATAATTAAGATGTACAGCAGTGTAATGTTGATGAAAATACAAAGACGTGGTTAAAGTTTGGGCCAGTAAAAGAGTTCAGTGCATAATTTTTTTTATTAAATTTGTGACTGTTTTTAAGTATTTGTTTTTGTAAAGCCATTGTTAATGATTTAAATTTAATCACTTGCTGACATACTGATAATATTTGTAAATAATTATTTCTTTTTAAAGTTTTATTGATTAAATTAATTTTCTGTGTAATGAGGATGAAACGGCTTTGAACTGAATTTAACAGGCATTTAATTTACTGTTAACTCTTTCAGTATGGGGTCGGTCCCTGGGAGTGACCTCATAATCATTTTGTGCTTGTTATAGTTTTCAAGCTATAACTTTTAAATTAGTAAGCGTATGTTAACGTAATTTGGTAGATTATCAGTAAACATTACAATGCTTTCATACACAAAATATCAAATTTTTCTATTAAGTCTTAAGGTTTTTTAAGCAATGTTTTTCTCATGCCCTTTTTTTTTCTTTTCGCATGTTGCCTATCCATCATGCAAAGTAATTTTCATTTTAAGATAAAATGTACTTTTATGCGTCAGAAAATTTTCAAATGTCACATGCATAATCTTTATAATGTCCAGATAGTAATCAAATGTTTCTTAAGCAAAAACTTTATATTTTATATGTTACTTTCAGTAACGAATCTGGGTTTGGTAGATTTCACCGATCTTGTAACCACCATATGAAATTTGGAAATAAATATAAATTTTGCCTCTTTTGTTCTAGAATGACAACAGATTATAACACGAAAACATAAATGTTTAGACTATATAGCTTAAATCTCATAACATTATACATTTATATATATTTATTATTTTTTATTATATTGACCTTTCAGCCATGCCTGGCTAACAATACAGAAGTTACAATGACGCGGCTCGTGTGCTCTCATGTTACCGTATCATATAACATAAAACTGACCTTTAGTCTTTACAAAGTGACCTGTCTTGGCTGTGTTTTAGTAGACTAGTGTTTTGTAAAATACAGTCACATTTTCAATTATTATACATTATATATATGTATATATATATATATATATATATAC